CAATACTTGAATACTCCGGACATTAGTGTTCATCACTTTGTCGTATGACTCGAGATATGCCGACTGTTCAAAAGTAACTGTCGGTCCGATACCGGCGTTATTCACGAGAATATCTATTTTTCCAAATACTTCGATAGTCTTTTCCACCAAATTCTTGACATCCTTGTCCACCATTAAGTCAGACCTAACTCCCAGTGCTTTCTGTTTGGAAAGTGATTCTGTGAAAAACTGGTGTCTAACCTAAGAGACCAGTAGGGAAGGTCACTACTGATGTAAACGCGGGTTTCTGCTGTTGAAGTCTCGTTAGGGATCGCCGATACCCGAAGACGAGCCTTAGATTTGAAAATATAATTCATTTATAATATAAACCAATAATTTTTTATACATATCATACCTGTAATCAACGCCACCTTTCCAGTAAAATTCATTTTTGATTAAAATTTTTTTGGTCTTATTAATGTATTTTATAAATAAATATATTAAATACTAGTGAAACGCTGAACTGGTATCCAATATTTATAGTGTAAACCTGGTATCATTTATAGTAATAAATGAAGATTTTAAGAAAATTTAAGTGTATTTAAGTACTCTATTCTAATTGAATATACAGTACTAAACATTTGAGATTAATTTTACTTTCCGATCTCACTGTCAGTGCATCTAATCGTTAACGTGAGTTTACAAGTTCCAGTGCGTTACGTTTGTAGTTAGTGTATTATAATTCCTTAACGAAAATAAGTTAATAATATGATAATATTAACTATAATTTGACAATTAGGTATGTTGTTTAGTATTTCCCATTTTAAATTGATTACTTTACAAATATGAATCAGACTGTACTACTTTGTACGGTAATTTACTACTAATATCAATGAATCATTCATTGATCCATGGTAATCTAATGTATTCCTTTAAATTCAGAGTTCATTTTATGTACTGTAGGTTATTCAATACATTACAATCTATAAATTTCAAATAACCTGTACAAATTAATACACAATATAAATTAATATCATTAAACTTATGTCCTTTAATTATTATTTCATTTCATTTGTAATTTCAAATGATCTCTGATTTATTTATAATAACATATATAATATGTTTACTGTTAAAATATTAAAAACAAATTAATATTAAAATAAATTTATGTTATATTAGATGACTAATTAACGATATAAAAGCATGTTATCGAACGCAACTTACACTTTTATAAAAAACAAATTTTAACGAATGTATTCTCTATAAATTATACAATAAATCAAATGCAATTTATTAGTAATTCACTGATATTTCCATTATGCATAAAATACATTTAATAATAGTCATAACTGAATTAAACATTATTATACGTATATAAAAGTGATGGAAAATAATGATTAGTAAAAATCAAAATATAAAAATACAATAAAATAAACGACATTTCTAGCAAAAAAATTTTCTAAAATAAAATAATGTTTCAAATAATCATCATAACGATTTTATTGCTAAATTGTATTTCTTGTATGTACAGTATAAATAATTGTTTTACTTAATTTATAATATACTTTAAAATCTCAATTTGTTTACAGACATATTAAAGTTTTATACTTGAAATAAGTTTCATATTATTTTGTATGAATAATTTGCAGTGATTTATGCCCGGGATTCATTACCGGATGAGACAAATGATGCCTTTCAAGTCGATTGTCTCAACACACATAACATATACAGAGCCCTTAGCGTCAACACCTCATCACTTAAAATTGATCCTAATGTATGTCATACAGTATCACTTATTCATTTATCATGTATATCCCCACCACTAAGAATCCTATAAATTGTATGAAAAAATATATTAATTGAATGAAACAATAGATCATACAATACGCCCAACAGAGGTGTCAATCGAGATCCCAGAGCAATGGGTTGAGCGCCGGGCACTCGGGTCTGAACCCCAATTACGGGGAGAACCTGTTTTGGATGGGAAGCAGCAACCAAATGATTCCCAACTGTTCGCAAGCCATTACAGCCTGGTCTGTCGCCATCACATCCAATACATGTCCATAAATAGTACTATAATTATTGAATCGCAGGTATAATGAGATACAAAACTACGACTTCTCAAAGCCGGGCTACAGTTCAGCAACCGGACACTTTACGCAACTGGTGTGGCTGTCAACCACTCGGGTGGGCTGTGCGGCGTGCGGTGGGAACGGTACCAATTTCTTTGAGACGTACGTTGTGTGCGATTATCAACCGCCGGGTAATATAATCGGCCAGTTCTCAGCTAATGTTATGCCACTTATTAGTCCAAACAATTAGCAAATCATTTTGTATATCATTAAAGTATTTCCCAAATAAATAAATAAAAAGTTTCAAATCATTGTATTTAATGTCATATTATATTATAATATTCATGAAAATGCATTAAGGTACATCCAAACATTGCATAATCCTTTGAGTTCAATAAATATATTTTTATACTTATAATTTAATAATTTCTAATTTCATATTTACATGCTTATTTATTAGCAATTAAATACATTTTATAGTAAAATAATTATTTAAGTAATTATACTATTATTTTAGTAAAATAATTAGTGATATCATACTACAGTACTGTATTGTAGTATGACTTTACATAATACTTTGTTAGACAAAGTCCTCATAATCATAATTCTTAAGGTATGGGTCAAAATAAAGGTTCAGACACATTTGAACTTCACTATACAGTAATTGTTATTTTTATCAACATCAAGTTTTTATTTAGTGATTACAACATTAATACAAGCAGGGTGTTTGCATAAATACAACATATAATTATTTTATTTTATATTAAATTATGAATATACCAAATTATAAAATGTGTTTTGGATTTAATAGATTACAAGTAAATGAATATCTAGAAATTGTATGGATTAAAACAAGTTTGTCAAAAGGGAAGCCTTGTAATTTGAGTTTCACCTGTCAGTCCCTTATTGTTTGTATTCATCTTTATTTAGTCTAAATAACAGGTTCTCATATAATAGTGATGATGATAAGAGGTTTAGGTTTGACTAGGATTCAATATTAATCTCCATGTTTGTCTTTATATTTGATTTTGTATTTATTAGGCGTTAGTCTAGACTTTAGGAATTTTGTTTCATAAAAGTATATTTCTATTTAGTTTTTGTTGAGACAATTTTCATTTGAAAAAGTTATTACATTTCTAAAATACTAAAATGTCTCTCAAAGGAAAGGTTGCTTTGATCACAGGTATGTTAACTCCTTATTATGTTATACTTTTTATTATAATTTATTTTAAACCTTAGGCTCGTCTTCGGGTATCGGCGAAGGGATTGCTCTGAAGTTGTCGTCTTTGGGCGCAAATGTAGTCATCACTGGAAGGGATGACCAGAGAATCCAATCTGTGGTCAAAAAGTGTGAATCGCTTTCCAAACAGAAAGCACTGGGAGTTAGGGCTGACTTAATGGTCGACAATGAAGTCAAGGATTTGGTACAAAAAACTATCGCAGAGTTTGGAAAAATAGATATTCTTGTGAATAACGCTGGTGTGGGCTGTGTCACCAAATTTGAAGACCCGGGATATTTAGATTCATTTGATACAGTGATAAACACTAATGTCCGGAGTATTCAAGTATTGACTCAATTAGTGGTTCCATATCTCGAGTCAACCAAAGGAAACATTATTAACATCTCGAGTGTCGCCGGACTTAGACCCGTAAGTGCTGTCAAATGATTTTTAGATTATAAATTTAATTTAATTAAAAAATATTTGTAGAACCCGGACACAATGGCTTACTGTATGGCTAAAAGTGCCCTGGACATGTTTACAAAGTGTTTGGCACTACATTTGGGGCCCAGAGGCATTCGTGTGAATAGCGTCAAGTGAGTTCAAATGAATATATTTAATTGTACAGTATATACAATACACTAAAACTTATATAATATAATATATATTATTATTGCGTCAAACAAAACATAATGATAATAACCTCCAGTCCCGCTGCCATCCGGACCCCTATATTCAATCTGTGCACCAAAAGTGAGCAAATGTTGGATTTCGTGGAAAATCTCTGCAAAACAACTTACCCCTTGAGACGTATCGGTGAACCGGAAGACGTGGCAGAATTGGTGGCATACCTGGCCTCTGATGTGTCGTCCTTTGTGACGGGAACTCTCATTCCCATCGATGGCGGGAGTGTCCACTCCGGAGAATCTAATATTAATCCCAATCTTATCAAATAATAATCCCTTTTATGATATTAAGTATATTTTATTACTACTGTATTTTAATTCTTAATATTTTATTGAAAATAAATTAGAATTTTTAAGCTATAACTTTAAATAATTTATCCCGTTTATTTTAATTTTAAATTATGCATAAATATACAGTATATGATATTATAAACAAAATTAATAAAATATTTTATTAACATTTGATATACAATTTTTATAACAATACTAGAAACTTATTATACTGTATATTAACGTAATAATGTTATCAAGGTTATTCTTTTTATGAATTAAATATTTTAAGAATACAACATATTTTATTAAAACATCTAAAACTAAACGTCTAATTAACAATAAATTGTTTATTATATAAAATAGTTTTTAGAAAAAATTGTTAAAATAAAATCATTTATTATAGACCTTGAATCAATTGTCTAACTAATGGCATTTGTATTTACATTACTTTAAACACTGTAGTTGTAAATTTATTGGTATATAAATCAACTTTAGTACAGTACATTGAGCACATGGTGTTCATGTTGTACAGTATACTATACAGTATAATAAAAGCAAAATTGTATAAAACGGAATATTCTATTGCAGAATATTAAATATTTTTAAAATTGTGCAAGTATAAATATATTTGTTATAAAAATTATTTCATAAAATTGTGGTAGGTAGTCTTTGTTTGATACTGTATTATTAACTTAACAATAAAATCATTTATATGAAAACTATCTTAATTCCTATTATACATTATTTTCAAAAGGTTACACTACATCAGATAAAGTGTATCCATAGTTATCTAGTGTTGTAAATAAATAATTAAAACTTGATAAATTGGTGTAAGTTTTCAAATGGATTTTAATGGACAGGTAGCATTAGTAACAGGTATTGTGACCATTTTTAGGCTTTTTGTTTTATAATAACTTATTTTAAAAACATTTTTAAGGCTCGTCTTCGGGTATCGGCGAAGCAATTGCTCTGAAGTTGTCGTCTTTGGGCGCAAATGTAGTCATCACTGGAAGGG